GGGGGGGGGGGGGGGGGGGGGGGGCTGTGCTGGGGGTGCGAGGGGCGTTCGGAGGCTGAGGCTCCAGTCCCCGGGGGCGGGGAGAGCTCGAGGGGGCGGCGGGGTCCCTATGGGTGCCCCTGTGGGTGGGGGGGAGGCGGCGCGTCAGGCCCGGGGTGGGGGGGCGGGCTGCGGGGGGGACGTGGGCGATGGAGCCGGTGACTCAGGCTTGGCACCGGCGAGCGCCGCGCTGCCCCCCACGCCCGCCTCTCACCTGCCCCCCACTCCCGGCACCCACCTGCCCCCTCCTCTCGCCCCTCACCTACCCCCCCACGCCCGCCCCTCACCTGCCCCCCACACCTGCCCCCCACGCCCGCAGCGAGCCCGCCCCTCACCTGCTCCCCCCACCTGCCCCCCACCTTTTCCCCACGCCCACCCCCCGCCTGCCCCCCCACTGCCGGGGGTGCCGGTGCGGTGATGCCGGGGGTGCCGGTGATGCCGGGGGTGCCGGTGATGCCGGGGTCCGGGGGCACCAGGAGGGCCGGGCCCGGTGATGTCGGTGATACCGGTGATGTCGGTGATACCGGCGATGTCGGTGATACCGGCGCTGCCGGGGCCGGTGGCTCTGCCGGGTTCGGAGCTTCTGCAAATGGCGCCTCGGCCTCGGCAAACGCCCGGTGCTGGCGGCTCCCGCGGGAACGAGCCCGAGCCCGGTGTCACGGCTGCGGCGGGGCCGGGGCGGAGGTGGGATCGCGGAGTTGCCGGGATCGCGGAGGTGCCGGGATGCCGGAGGCAGGATCACGGAGGTGCCGGGATGGCGGAGGCAGCGGGATGGCGGAGGTGCCGGGATGGCGGGGGCGGGATCACGGAGGTGCCGGGATGATGGAGGCGGGATGGCGGAGGTGCCGGGATGGCGGAGGTGCTGGTGTGGCGGGCGCAGGATCACGGAGCCATCCCCGCCACTGCCAGCACCCCCCGTCCCGCTCCCCCGGGAGCGCTCCTGGCACCGAGGGGCTGCGACCGGCCCCGGCCGAACCTCGGCAGCCGCTCCCGGAAACGGAGCGGGCCCGGCCGCTTCCCCGGTGCCGGTGCGGTCTTGTCCCGACTTCGGCGACACCGTCGGGGGAGTCCCACGGGCGGATTCTCGGTGCCCCCGCGGCCGCGCCGGTGCCGGACCGGTTCATCACGACGGCTCCCTGCCCGTCCCTTCGCCGCGGTGGCCCCGTGGGGACCACGGTCCTGGCGACACCGCCCGGCACGGCTCGGCATAGACCGCGCTTCCCCGGGGCTGTCCCGGGGGGTCCCGGCAC